TTCAAGAGATAATTCAGAGTCATATTATTTTCTCCACGCCCCTCTCCAAAAGGTTCATTAAGACAGACTAACCTGACTCAACCTCCACTCACACACTAGCCAGCTTCCCTGTAGTACAAATTATTATTAAAAATTATGTTCTCATTAAATTTTTATATCTGAAAATTTTCCAGAAATGACACAAAATAGCCATTAATTGCAAGGATATACATAATTACCTGAAAATCCAGAGAATCAAGTGGAATAATACTAATAATCATATTAAGCGCACCTGAAGAACAACATTTGTTATTTTTCTTTACATGTCTAACTGTTCATTCAATTCTTACACTACCACGATCTAGTTATACACTATTGTTCCTATGTTCCAGATGAGGTACATACAGACAAACTGCTTGCTCTGCCCTAGGACACGGCTTGTAAATCATGCCGCTGAAATGTAAACTCATATTAGGGTTTCTACAGCCTTCATTCAGTCACCAAAGCAATTAAAAACACTTGCCAAAAGCAGGTATTAATACAAAGTCCACAGTACATATGAACAGCATATGCATGAAAACATCAATGACAAGGCCTTCCCTGATGTCAGAGACAGTCTGACGTTAAAGTACTTGCTGCACAAAGATGCCAGGAAGCACTTGAAAAGTGATGGGTGGGGCATTGTTATCCCAGTGTGTAGGGGGTAGCGGGACAGAGTGACTGCTGGCATCTGCCTACCCTGAACTGTGCACAGGTCTCAGTAAGAGACACTCAGAAAACAAGGTGACGACTCCCAAGGAGGACTAACTGAGCTTGACCTCTGGCCTCCTGAAGGAAACACATCCATTCAAAACCACCAGGAACACTCCCCTGACCCTGCACACACAGAGCCTCCTTAGAACTGGAATGTAAAGAGCACTATTCTGCTACTGAACTATACTCCTTGTCAAGAAAGTTCCTTCTGAAAGGAAGTCAGTATTGGTACTGAAATGAGTACTAATGTGCACTAATGACATACATTTTCATATAAAGGAATACAGGAAGCTTTATCCAAATTTTTAAAATGATCTATAGAGCTTTGGCAATTCAAACTACTGTAGTCTAGATACAGACTCAGTATGATTTTAAAAATATGCCCAAGAGCATTAGAAACTTTGATCTACCAAAGGGGACCATTTAACTCAGCCATTCAGTAAATACTCTAAAACTCAAAGAGAAGGAAATGACTTTCTATGATCAAAACCTGGCACACTGTATGCTTTGTAGGTTGCATAACTAAGAGTGATTTTTACATTATAGCTATGTAACATCCTTCATCCCGTCTCTCAGCCTACAGGAGCCAAGGTACTGCCTGGCTTTTAATGAAAAACGTTCTCTGGCCCACAGTCTGCCATAGAAATGTGTAAAGACAACTGGATAACACCACAAAGGACAAGTATCGGCCACCTCACTTTCACACCTTAAATCAGGATACATTTCTAATGAGCACAGGTTATAAATCAGGTTATGAAATAAAATAGGGAAATAAATATAGTAAGAATTCTGAAATTTGGGGTTCTTTAAAAAACAAAGAAACATTCTATGTCTTCATTTTAATAATGCCGGGTGTGGGATATGGTGCTGCTTCAAATATTGTCCACAAGAGCTAGCTGTGATTTGTCTCATGCTCTAGCAGGGAAGATAAGTTTCTGCAACTGTGTGTGTGACATTTGGAATTCTAGGGACTTTTCAGAGGGTATATAATAAATGCTAGAGCCACGAAAAGGGGTGGGGGCTGTTGACTGGTTCTTGGTTGGTTACTGTTAGTCACAGTTTAGTCATACTCAAAGAAACAAAAAGAAATTAGGTATCTTGATGGCAAAGATCAAACAAGCCCCAACTTGAAGATGACATAGTCCTTTTTTCTTTCTATCTTTTTTTCTCTCTTATCTAGTGTTAGAGGATTCAAAGGATGGAAAAAGGGTGGGGACAAATGGAAGAAAGAGCCCATAAACTAGCAAAAGACTGGCTACAGGAAAACCCTAGGATTAGCTAAACTGAAAAACCTCTTTTAAAAACCCCTTGGCTAGGGATGTGGCTCAGTGGTAGAGGGCTTGTCAGTGCACGCCAGGCCCGGTCAATCCTCAGCATACATGGAAACAAGCAGAAAGCCACAAGGGATGAATACTGTTTGCAGAAATGATTTAAGCTGATTTTAACCATTACAAAATGTAGACATATTAAAACATCACACGGTGCTCCCTTATTATGTACAACTTTTATGTGTCTTGTATTAGCCATAAATGTTATTTTAAAGAGAGTATGATTTTTTAACAAAATGATTAATATCTATATAAAAAGAATAAAGAGAAAATTTTGTGAAAATAGTTGCAATAAAAGAAGATGTTAAGGCCATATCAAGAGAAATACAAGAAGGCACAAACATGAGTGATGCAACCACCACAAATGGTCATTAACAATTTGGGAAAGACATCACTCGGGGTGTATTAAATCTGTACTTTACATTTAGAGAAACTCTAATCTATGGACATGATTTTGATACACTGAATGTAAATGGTCTGCCATGGGCTCATGTGCTTGAGCACTTGGTTCTCAACCGAGGACACTGTCGGGAAAGGCTGGAGACCCCTCAGAGAGCAGAGCCTTGCTAGAGGAGTGACTCACGGGGAGCAGGGCCTGCGACTGTTACAGCTGGGTTCCACTTTCTGTTGTTCACATTCTCTTCCTGACTGTGAATGTGCTGGGATCAGAGGCCAACCTCTACCCTCACACCACTGGCTCCTGATGCTACACCTTCCCTGACATGACAGTGTATCTCCCTCAACTGCTGAGTCAGAATAACACTTCCCTTCCTTATGTTACTTCTCTTTGGTAATCTGTAACAGCAATGAAAAAGGAAACTTAAATACCAAAACAATCAACTACTGTGGTCTATCTGCCAAGACTTATGAGCTGATATTCTTAAAGACATGGGGAATGCTGATGAAACTAAAGTTAGTACATACAATCTAATGAAAGATGCCACCATGTTCTAGGAATTTTCATTGTAAGAATTCTAATGAAAATGTTTGAAGTGTAAAATTACAAGTCTAACAGTAAATTAGTCCTAACTAGATTTGAGATCTTTTGATCTATATGTATCTATACTTTTTAAAAGTTAGTCTGCCTGTATTGTTTGTAATAAGAAAAGAGTAACAGAAATAGCAACAATTTTCCATGCAAATAAACAAAGATTTTGAAATATTCTTGCTTACAAGCAAAGTCAGAACACATGCATATTTGTCTTGCTTTTGAATTCATTCTTCATCTGCCTATTATACTACTTAATTTAGCACCAAAATTTCCTGAAGGAAAATATTCTGTCACTTCTGTGACATCAACTATATTAGAATAGTATTAATATAATATATGTGTGCCTCTGGGTAAAGTGGATATACTAATTCTGATTTTAAAATCATAGTCGTCCTGGAAGGCAGACATGTCTTATTTTCTAAATACTTATTTTTATGAGTATAGGTGTTCTGCCTGCATGTACGTCTGGGTACCATAGGCATGCAGTACCAAGGAGGTCAAAGAGGGCACTGGATTTCCCGACACAAGCGTTACAGATTGCTGTGGTTGCCATGTTTGTGTCAAGACTGGAAGCCAGGTCCTCTCAAAAGAGCAGCCAGTGATCTTCACTGCTGAGACATCTCTCTAGCCCTGACAGACATGTCTTTATTATTCATTGTCTACATAAGCTCAATTCTGAATTTCAGTTTAAATTTTCACAAGTTCTTAATTATACCCTTTATCAGCATATCCATTACACTTTTCTAGCAAAGTTGCTTTCATTACATATCACAGTAAAATGCACAAGTTTTATAGTTTCCCCAATGAAACTATCAAATATTACACCTGATCATTTTTGTAACACTAGTAATTGAGCCCAAGGCTTTGCTCATACTAAGAACTTGCTCTACCACCAAACTAAACTCCTGACTTTTTAATCTTCAGAATCAACTCTTAAATCAGATACATGTAAATAATACTTCAATATAATGCACATCAAATAGAAACAGGGTGATAGTCAGGAACATATAAACTCGGTGACACTACTCCATATGGTATTAAAGGGTACACTAAGGAGAAACAAAGCCAATGCACACAAAATTTGGAGGGGAAATAAAGTACTGATGACTTGTTTCTCAAACAACAAATTTTTCAAATAACAGTAATGAAGAAAGGCTGGGACTGAGGAAATGGGATGGGTTCCTAATGTTAACTTACGTTGAGCCAATTTGTGACCTTCTAAAAATTGGTGAATGAGTTAATAATAATTAGCTTTAATTTAAAAAGGACATTTGTTACATTTGTCCTTTTAAAACAGGACATTTAAAACAGAACTGAGAACACTCCTAAAGAAATTAGGAAATAACAAATTTATAAAGCATTGAAAGGGAAAAAGCAGCCGAACAGACACACAGCATCAGAATAGACCTGGATTGACTAAAAGATATATAAACTAGATTAAAATGACTTAAGTTAAATCATTTTAAAATATCCTATAAATTTAACAACCTTTCATGTGGAAGGAATTACTGATCTACTAGTCTTCCAAAGCATACCTCTAGTCTGTATAATCTACACAGTACCAAAGACTTTTGACTGTAGTCTCTGTAGCTGTGGAGAAGGGTATTCTTAACTTGCAAACTAGAATTACAGCCAGGATGTACAAATGTGCTCGCTTAATTCTGGAAGTACACTTGCTTTATTATAAAAAAAAAATATTTCTCATGAAACAGAAAACCCCAGATTACCTCAGTTACAGTCTGTAGTCCATGTCTTTGAGTACTTCCTATAACAACATTACTACTGCTTAAGAATCCCAGGACACTAATGTTTCCCGTGACAAAGCAGGTTTATCTTTCTGTCCCCAGGACCTACACCTATGCTTAGCACAATCCCCTGGGAGTTCCTATGCTCCTCTTCAGGGAACTAGACACAGCGCCCGCCGCTGCTGCGGAGACAGCGTGACTTACATCTTTCTCTGACCGGTGTGGGAACATAGAAGACTGGCTGTAGTACATGTTCTCATCGTGGTAGTCGCTGTCCACCCCCTCTACAAACTTCTTTCTTGAAGCACCAAACATGCTGTTTGTCACCTAAACAAAAATATTACTTTTATCAAGAGTAGTATTTTGGAAAAGTCTGCTTTACTTTACCCCTGGAGAAAGGAAATGTGTACGTACTGTACTGCTAGATCCTAAAACAGATTAACTAAGGGTGACAGGACTCAGATAAAGATATAAATCTGACTATACAGTACAATTCCACTGGTTCACATCCAACAAAATCATTTATTGCTGAATAATTAGAGCGCCAAATATAATTTTTCCAAACACAGTTTTTCTTTCTTTTAAATTTCAAAGTCTTCACATACGAACACTGTGTGTCAATACTGTATCTATGTCAGCGCTGTTGAAGAACATGAAGGCTTATGGTGGGGCAACACTCCTTTAACCACCATGCAAAGGCATTCTGCAATTTTATGTCAAGTCACAACTATCTAGACATATAACAAAATAAACTTATCATGTTGGTATAAATTTATATTTTGTTTATTGCTTATTCTTTGCTTGTAACATTTTTATAAAAACATTAACAATTATAAGCATACACCAGAAATATATGCTAAATATATATAAAATCTATGCTAATTTTTAAGTTTCCAAACCTATCAGCTGATACATGAGCTTTCTGTCTCAGTGTTGTTTCTATATAGGCTCTCACTACACAGCCCAGACTGGCCTTTAATTCCCAATCTCCCCACCTCAGAGCTCTGGGATTACAGGAAAGTGTCACTTAGTCTAGCCACATGAGGAAATTAAGGTCAATATGTCTTCTCACTCCTGCCAATATATTCAAGTTTAGAGACTTGAATAGCATTAACTATATTTTCTAAGTATACTCAAATCAAATTTAGTATCTTAGTCACTCACTATAGCTAAGGTTATTCTCTTCAAACAAGAACTAAATATATTCAGAGAAGGACTATACATGCCTGTGATCATTTGCGTATGCTTGGCCCAGGGAGTGGCACTATTGGGTGTGGCCTTGGAGTAGATATATCACTATGGGTGTAGGATTTAAGACTCTCAACCTAGCTGCCTGGAAGTCAGTTTTCTGCTAGCAGCCTTCAGATGAAGATGAGGAACTTTCAGCTCCTATATCATGTCTGCCTGGATGCTGCCATGTTCCTGCCTTGATGATGCTGGACTGAACCTCTGACCTGTGAGCCAGCCCCAGTGAAATGTTGTCCTTATAAGAGTTGCCTTGGTCATGGTGTCTGTTCACAGCAGTAAACCCTAACTAAGAGAATGTCTATCCATCAAGCTTCTACGTGCTTTTTCTTATACAGAGGCAAAAAAGTCCTTTCCTGGGTTTAATGTTCAGAAAATAAACAATTACAAAAAATTTAGATCCAGTGCATATGCTATTTTTATTTGTTTTGTAAACATTACAGATATACTTAAAATTTTCTTTACGGGACCTCTGCTAATGAGCTCTACTTTTAAGAATAAACATGGATAAAAGCATGTAGTATATATAGTTTAATATCCAGGAATCTTCCATTAAATTAACACACATGAATAAATTCAAAATAATACGAAGTAAAGTTTTCTTTGAAAATTTTTACATAGTATTATCATTAAGTTCTAGATTCCTAAATTCCAAAACTGAAATTAATTATATAGAATAAATCACACTAATACCATGCAAATAAAATGTCTCCCATAAAACACAGCAATGCATATCCCCTACCAATACTGCCTTTTCTCAACTGAGTACAAGGGTTGGGCATAAAGGGAGACAAGTCAGGCAAGAGGGAGGAGAAGCAAAAATTACATACATGTCACTGAGAATACTAATCATTCTGACATGCCGTCAATGACAACAAAATAATAATCGTCACTGTGCCCTAAAGGTGAGCCCTGACAGGAGTTAGGTACAGGAATGACATACTTCTGAACCATGGCAAAATAGAAAGGGGGGGAAGAGGGTTGTTACTTTTCTTAAAGTCAGATTAATTTCAAAGAGCAGGCTTTCATTCTTCACATGAGGGACCAGGATAGCAAAATGTTTTAGAATGAGTAAACATAGTAAAAACAGAAAGAAAGAAAGAAAGAAAGAAAGAAAGAAAGAAAGAAAGAAAGAAAGAAAGAAAGAAAGAAAGAAAGAAAGAAAGAAAGAGGGAGGGAGGGAGGGAGGGAGGGAGGGAGGGAGGGAGGGA